TCGGCGCTTCCCAGAAATGTAGCCCCTCTGGCAGGAGTAATAGCTCGGGCTGTTTAAGCAGCTGGGGGGGAAGTACCAAGAGCTTCAGGGCTTGGTCCCGCTGTCCCCAGGCGCGCTCTGAGCCGGGAGTTCCGAGCGTGGCTCTCCGACGTGACTCATGTTCAGCTGGAGCCGACCATCGACCTGTCCTGCGCCCGCTACGAATACACAGGTGAGTGAGGTGTCCTTGCGCCGAGGCTGCCCTGGAGTGTACGAAACCCTGCTGCTGTAGGAGAAAGGAAAGGGAAAGGTCCCAGTCCTAGGAGACTCTAGAAGCTATTGCCCAGCAGATCAGAATCACACAAACAGTCTTCTAGTCTTGTAAAACTAGCTTCTGCTAATTCTACTTTTGCTAACTCTCTTTGCACAACCTGTACAGCTTTCCTGTTCCTGCCCTCCATGCAACCCGGCAACAAACCTCCTCAAAGGGCAGTTGTGCATTTAAGAACAGGAGTTTGACAAGCTGCTAAACGTAGGGATCTCTTTCTCCTGTCTTGGCAACAGTAACAGAGGGAGGTTTAGGAACAGGCATTACTTCCTAATTATAATGAAATCTCATAGAAGGTAATCTCTCTGCATTAGTGATGCAAGCATGTAAAAAATGCTGTTATTAAGAAGGGCATGTTTTTTCCTGCTATGTCCTTGCAGGGGGCAAAACCAGGAAGCAGCTGTTGAAATACAGCAGTCACACACGTGGACTGTAACAAGAAACACCCTAGTGTAGTGAAATTTGTGTATGTGCAGATGTCCTGCTGTGCCACGATGATGAGCTGGAAGGTCGGAGAATTGCCTTCATCCTCTACCTGGTGCCGCCGTGGGAGAAGAGTGATGGAGGAACCCTGGACTTGTACAGCACCGATGGTGAGAGCTCCCTCCTCAGACTCATAAGTGAAAAAGATGAAATGCTTTTTGCAGCCCTTCCCTTGGATGTCCTTGGGAGGTTTTCTCAGTCCAGGGAAGCTGATGCATTGGTAAAATTTGCATCTTAGAAAGACAGGAGTTGTAGCAGACTATACTAATGGGTGACAGCTGAGAAAAAGGAGAAGCTAATAAAGAGGTGGTGGGCAAGGAAGGAGAAATAAGCCACTTTTTGCAGGGCATAGAAGTGCGCACAGGGTAGAAATGATGCCAGTAACTGTGCTGGGAACGCTTAAGCAAGGGAGATAACTTTCCTTTCCAACAGTAGATGTCCACTGATACCTCATTGGTCCCTTGCTCTAAGCTCCATCCTTTACAGCCAATGCCTGAATACTGGAAAGTCATGAAGTCAGAGGTAAACAGCAGTTGCTGGTGAGCACTAAGTCAGGTCATAACCAGAGCACGTTTTCTCCCTCTTCAGAACATTTTCAGCCACAGCAAATTGTCAAGTCATTAGTGCCTTCGTGGAACATGCTGGCTTTCTTTGAAGTGTCTCCAGTCTCCTTCCACCAGGCAAGGACCTGCATTTTGTTTGTTTTTAAATCCTCACTGTTGTGGGGATTCATTTTGTATGTTATTATTGTCTTGAGGGGGAGGGTGGAAGAGAAAGGGAGAAATGTCGGTGTTCAGCACAGACACTTATGCTGAATGCTGTGTGGTAAAGGCTGATGACTTTAAGGAAGACAAGAACCGACAAACTCAACTCTGAACTGCACAGTCCTGGCAGTCTAGCTTCAGCAGCTCTCATCCCTACGTTCTGTCACTGTGCTGACAAACCATGGCTGGGGATTTGGCTGGGGTGACACAAGAGGGCTTTTCCTGGAGTAGCTGCTGTTTTTCATGCGGATGCCGTGGCTTTGCTGCCAGAAAGGCTCTCCAGTGTGTTGCCCTGCCAGCGGGAGCCCGTGTGGATAAGGCTGTAGCTGCTTTGTAATGCAGATGTGGTGCAGCACCCTGGAGTAGGTGTGCTGATGTGGTTACGTAGCATTGTGGCATGTAACAGGAGCATGGTTAGAAAAAACATGGCAGTAATCTGTGAAACTGCTTCGTATAAAAAACCTGAAACTGCTGCTTACTTGAGAATGCCATGGGCCACAACAAATAGTGTGAAAAGAGCAAGAGGCTGCAGAGGAAGAACAGTGAGCACAGTGATGTATGTCAGCAATGTTGACAGCTAGACTGCCTAGCTTCACCTTTCCCTGCTGTTTTGTAACTAATTAACAGAAACAACTACTTGGTCAGTGCTCTAGTTGTTTGCAGTTAGTGATTTACTCTTGTTATATAAATCCCTGTTCCACTTAGCCTTGTGACTGCCTCCTACTGACCTAAACTTAATCCCATGCATTAGCGGCATTCAGAGTGCTATGTACTGTTTCTGATACTGTTAACACAGGCATTAAGAACTCAGCTGACTTAACTGGGAGTGCTGTGGAGCCAAATCTTACAGCCCTGCACCTCACTGGTTATTCCCAGAGTACCCTTTGAACCATCAAATCATTTCTTTGATCCTCTCATCAGTAAATCACAGAGCCCACAAATTGCTCTTAGAGGACTATGTGAGGGTCAGACTGATATGAAGAGTTAATATCATTTTCCAGCCTAAGTCCCCCTAAGACAATTGGCAAAGAGCATTTAGTCATTAATTTCTAGTGGATCTTTGGATTTTTCATGGTGTACACTCCTTCAGCAAATAACAAAGAAAACTGTGGTGAACAGAGTGGGTTTCTGGGCTTCTCAGAGTTTAAGCATAGTTTAAGAGCATTTTCCATTTCCCAAATGATGTAGGGTTTCTGTAGGCATTCCAAGTTAGCTGATTTAATTCATGCAAGGCGAGGGCCACTACTGCTCTATAACTATCAATACAAGCCAAAGCCTTTACCAGACTACGCTCTGTTTCTCTTCCACGAGGCTGTCCCAAAAAACAGTGCAAGGTCTTTATGTTGCTTTATGTGCAACCAGTCATAAGAGGGTGGCTCACTCATCACTATTCAGTACAGCATTCGAGCATGTGAAATTGCTCAGTTTAGGCCAATTTATATCAGAGCACAATTTGATGAAATAGACTCTCTAGACTGGGTCAGACCCTTATTATGGGTCTGCATGGTGCCTGTTACACCTGGTTTCTGTATGTTTTGTAGGTCTAAACAGTAACCTGCCCTTCTGCTTCGTTCCAGGTATCAGAAGTTCTGTCTGAGGAGAAGTGCCGCTTGTCAGTGAGTGGCTGGTTTCACGGCCCATCCATAGAGAGACCTCCACGCTATATCGAAGCGCCTTTGCCAAGGAGTCCACACATCCCTTACGATGTGAGTAGCAAGCCCAGATAGAATTATAGAATCACAGAATGCTTAAGATTGGAAGGGACCTCTAGAGATCATCTAGTCCAACCCCCTGCACACGCAGGGTCACCTAGAGCACGTGGCACAGGACTGCATCCAAGTGGGTTTGGAAGATCTCCAGAGAAGGAGACTCCACAACCTCTCTGGGCAGCCTGTTCCAGGGCTCTGGCACTCTCACTGTTAAGCATTTCCATGTCCCTGGCATACTTACTTGGTATACATTCATGCTTGGGAACGCTTCAGTTTTAAACTTATTCCATGTTCCTTTCTGTTTCCTGTCCATTCGTAGCTAGTTTTAGATTTGTAGCTAGTTACCTTCTTGGATGTTATAAATGGTTGGGGACCCAGGATGAAAAGATACTAGCTAAAAGCGGACTCTCTAAGAAGTAATTGATAAAGAGACACCACTGAGGATTTTACCTTTCACTTTGTAGCACAAGACAGGCTAGCTATGAGAGCTGTGTTTTGTTTGACTCTTCTTGGAGATACACAGTGGTAGGACAAGAAGGAGTGGGGATAAATTGCAACATGGGAAATTCCAGAGAAACTGTGGGACCTTCATCCTTAAAGATGTTCAAAACAACAGGACACAAGGCCTTGAGCAACCCTGAGCCTGGATCAAGCTAGGCCTGCTTTGAGCAGCAGGTTGGACTGTTTCCAGAATAAGTTTCCAGCTTACTCTGTGATTCTCTGTCCACTTCTATAGTTGCAGTAGTGGAGGCAGCAAATACTCTTACAACAATTTAAAAACAAGAAAGGAAAGGCGGAGGAGGGTGAGGGTGGGAGGAAGGAATAGAGACTTTTGGCCAGTTAGTTGAGGAAGTGGGGAATCCATTTTACATTTGCAAATGCAGCATTCAGACCCATTTCCTTCCCAGCAAGAAATCTTGTATGAGTGGATCAATCTGGTTTATCTGGACATGGACTCCCAAGCTCAAATCCAGGAGGAGTTTGAGGAGCGCTCAGAAATTCTCCTGAAGGATTTTCTTAAGGTAAGTCCAGTGGTTCAATATGATGCAGTTTATCAGAACAGGTCACAGGGCTTGTATGTGCCCTGTGTCAGGCAGCCTGGCAGATATGTATCTTGCAAACTTTGCTTCAACATTCGTCTTTCTTACAAGATACAAAGCAGAAAGATTGCAGCACTTGCCATCCTTCCTGCTTCCTAGCACTGAGATGACCAGAGCATTCCTCCCTTACCAGTATCATGATCTTTCTTTATTTGATGGCTATTCCTCTGAATAATCTTTCTACCCATCCCTCAGTGAAGCAAACAGCATTTTCACACAGCAGACATGAAGTAGAACTTAATTGCCTTTAGGCACAGGCATTAGAAAGATGTGATGCTCAGCCTAGTGCCCTCAATTGAGCAGTCCTTAAGAGCCTCACACAAGCTAGAGAGAATGGCTGTGCCTCATCTGAGACTAGAGACTGACCACTTCCAACACAGCAGACAGGGGAGCTAAACTGTCAAAGCTTCTGCCCTGTATATTTTTCTCTCCTAGAAAGAGAAATTCCAACTACTGTGTGAAGCTCTGGAGAAAGATGACATCCAGTGGAGTAGCCGAGGGCCCCCCAATAAGAGGTAGGGATGCATCAAGCTACTGAGTGACAGCATCTTGCCCCTGTTGAGCAGGCCAAGCAGGAAGTGCCATGAGGCTGCACTGACTGATACTGTCCCCATGGAAATGTCCTTGTTGGCCATCTGCTGCTGATTACCCTGCTGTCTTTCAGATTGTATGAGACTGCAGAGGAAGAGAGTCTCCCTGACATCCTGAAGAACTTCCTGCAGCTGTTACGCTCTGAGGCCATGTTTCTGCTGCTTTCTAACTTCACTGGCCTAAAGCTGCACTTCCTGGCTCCCTCTGATGAGGATGAAGATGCAGGGGAAGGAAGGGCTGCAGACACTGCTGGACACAGCACTCCCAAACCTCAGCAAGAAGAGGCTGAACAACAGGCTGGCAGTAATGCCCATCAACAAGAGCAGCCTGACAACGTCCCTGACGTGCAAGAGGGCGAGACGCAGAATGGTAGGTAGGGCAGCAGCGGTGCTGAAAGGATTTGAGCAAAATCCAGGCATTAAAGGATGTCAGCAGTAGAACTTCCAGTAACTTTTCCTGGAACCAGCTTTTCACCTTATACTGCTACCATCTTGTAGAGGTATCAGCACCAACTTGAGATTCAAGGCAGAGTTGTCACCTCAAAAAAGTGATTAATGACTAAGTGACTAACTAGACTAATGCTTAATCGTAACTAACCAAAATACACCATGTTGTAGGAGCACTTGGAACACACCTTGTCAACCTGAAGTCTCATATAAGGGCAGGATCAGGAGTAGGGGACTTCTAAATGAGTTGATGCTTTTTCTTCTTAATCTAGTTACCCAATAATGTTTTGTCATTAGGTATGTGGTTTCTACATGCGCATACTCCTGTGTCATATACATGACAATTCTCACATGAAAGACCAAAGCAAGTAGAATAAAGTTATCAGATTAGAAAATAGTTTTAGAATTAGCAAACTGAAGCCTAAAACTAGAGTTTAACCCTAGCCCTTTGGAAAACACTGCTATCCTAAATAACCACTTAGTCATCAGCAATGACATATCATTACTCTAAAAGATTTATTTTGGATTCATGCAGTGGTGTTTGACGCAGTGGTTTTTGAAATTTAAATGTAGAATTCTTGAAAATGCTCATTTCCCACTCAGTGGACACTGGGAGAAAGAGTAGTCAAGAACAGAGCAGCACTGAAAATCCCAGTGGTGATTTTTGCTTGTGATAAAGGCTTTGTTTTTTTGATTTGCACTGCCAGTTATTTTGCTACTTCCATTTGCCATCTTCCCTCTGTGATTTTAACCAAATCTTTCCTGTCTGACTGTCTTGAATGGCTGTTACTGAGGGCATAATTTGGCGCTGCATAAATTGAAAATGGAGCTGTACCCATATGGAAAGAAATGTTTCCTCAAAGTCTCACATACCTCTGAATTCCTTAATTCTTCAACTTACCTAATGTAAGTTCAGAGCCATACCCTTCTCTGGAAGCATCTGGCAGTTTCAGTGTACTTTTAGAGCCAAGAGGTTTCCTGGCTTTTGAAATTCAGAGGTCTACCATAAATCCTCATGAGGATCTGCTACCAACCTGGGCGGGGAGGAACGACACACACAAAAGGATGAACGGGCTTAATCCAAGGCACATGACAGCCTGGACCTCTCAAAGAGCAGATCTTGGCTCCCCTCATATCCATCATGCAAAGGACGTAGCTTAGAGTCACCTCTAGAAAAGTTAACAAAGCATCTGTGATTTTACTTCTTCCCTTTACACTTTGCTGGCTGCAGCAAACACATCCTTCTGTGAAGAAATAATACAGGAACTTACACCTGCTGCCTTGAGCCAGGCAGGAGTTATGCATAGGGCAACTTCATTTTTCCCTGGCTGTTGAGATGTTTGTTCTCTCATAGGTTCAGGTGCCCCAGTGTGTGCAGGGGAGGTGAGACGCTGGACCCATGGGCACTATACTTTAGTCCACGACACCCAGGCAACAGAATTTGCTCTGGACCTGCTCTTTTTCTGTGGGTGTGAAGGTAAGTGGACAAAAGAGAAAGGTGTCACACACTCCTTGACAAGATCTGCTTAGAGGAAGAATTTTTGAGTTCTCCACAGGGCAGCAGTAGCCAAAGTTTTCCTGCTTTTGCTCTTCAGATTTTATGTAAGTCCTCTCTTCTGCATAAGTACTATGTGTTCCAGTAGTGCATAACACAAAGATTTGTGATTCTGTCCCTGGTGTCCACGGTTTTCTGCAGCTTGATGCTGCTTCCCCATGACTTTCCCTGCTTGAGCCAGAAGGTGGTACATGGCAGGTCTTCTTGGGGCAGGGGGAAAGTGCCAGTCTCCAAGACTTTTCTCCTGCTTACTAAGCAGTGGCTCAAGGAATGCTCTGTTTTGCCTCTTTTCTCTCCAGAATTATCACTGCTTCCTATTCAAAAAGCCCAGGCTTTTCAAAAGTGACTTTAGGCATGTCCAGGCATTTTAGGTTGATGGCAGCTTTGTACAGTTGAAAACAAAAAAGCACTGCTGGACCAGTGGAGACCAGGATGCATGGCTTAAACCACTTGGAACAAACCTGATATTATAATTACCAAAAGTTATTACACATCTACTAAGGCAAAGCTGCTCTGCATATGGGGAATAGGAAGCCATGCAGTCCTAAATGGCCTGTTTGTGGTAAACAACAAATTCAGTATATTTGGTTCAAATTGCTTCTGAATGGAAGAAAATATAGTAGACTGGCAGGAGGTAAACTACTGGCAGTCCTGCCGCCTGTACCTGTAGAGAGCTGGCCAGAAATATTGCCTTTCCAGGAGGGCAGTCTGGACAGTACTGAATTTGCTAAGAACCTTTTTCTTCTATTTTAAGACTGGGATCCAGAATATGGTGGCTTTACATCCTATATTGCTAAAGGTGAAGATGAAGAGGTAAGGAGCTGAGTTCCTAGGTGTAAGTTATATAAAATTAGTTGTTGGGTAGGGGAGGCATGATTCTTTTTTCCTTTTATGTCAACAATCTCAAAAATGCTCAGTACTACACCAGAGGCCCCAGCGTACTCTAGAGCTTCCTGCCTGAAGCGCAGGTTGTAGATGTAGCTCTGGATTCAGCTTCACAGGGCTGGTGTTTATTGCAAAGCTTAAAACTCAGGCCCTGACAGAAAAGCAGGCCCTAATACAAGCTGAACGTGGTGGTATTTTGAGAAGCCTCAAATAAAACAGAAGGCCATAGGAGATGTCATGCTTTTCCAGGGAAATGCTTTTCACAAATGTCACATGTAATAGAAGTAATAAGGAGTGTGCTGAACCATAATACTGCTAAGTTCAGAATCTCTTCAAATAAACTTGCAGCCTAATAAATGGTGCAGGTTGAGGGGTATTAATAGGAAAATGGTGTCACTGCTCATTTTCCAACATGAGACTTTTATTATGATTGGCTTTTCAAAGTCTATTCTGTCCCTTTCCTCCTAGGAATGATATCAAAGACATTTTTGTGGAATTAATTTCTTACCTTGATTACTTATGTGCCTTCTAGCTATTGACTGTGAATCCAGAGAACAACTGCTTGGCCTTGGTTTATAGAGACGAAGAAACAATGAAGTTTGTGAAATACATCAATCACCGTAGCTTGGCACGTCTGAAAAAGCATCCAAAGAGAACAGCATTTTGGGACTTTTCTTTTGTCTATTATGAGTGATGATGCAGAGCGTCACCATCCTCACACAAAGTCACTCTGATGGCAGTACTGGGTTTTGGAAGGGTTCCCAGCCAAAAGTTCAGCTAGGGCTCATGTGAACAGGTAAACTTGGCTGTAGCTAACTCAGTCATACTGTATGTGAGCTGCAGCCTACAGAGTGCAGTCTAAGTGGCTTTATTTTTTTTTTTTTTTAATAAATCAACTTCCAAAGTGTTGCCTTCTGACTGCTTTAGCTTGGACAGAGCTCTGCTCTATCAGCTTCCCAGCTTTTCTCATGGAAATGTCAGACAAATCCCTCATCTTTCAGGATAAAAATTATAACTGTGCCTTCCCCCAAGTTTTTGACTGTTTTTTAGGAAAAAGAAACAGCAGGTCAGTAAAACATTTCAGAATGTGGTTGAAGCAAGTTTTGTTACAAAATGCCTTAGAGACATTTTCTGGGCCTTGACCGCATTGACTTTTGTAGTGGCAAAAATAAATGAGATGCCATGGGAAATGGGAAGCTTTTCCAGTTGTACAGGCTGTGGAAGTGGGAAGGAAGAAAATGAGGCTATAAAGCTTCTTGCATTGGCAAGGGCTTAGCCTTGCAACGAGGAGGACTTTGTTATGCTGAATGCTGTGCAGCCAGAGCTAAATACAGCCCTTCCTCCAAAGGATTTACAGACCAAGTAGCAGGTGAGATAAGAACCTGCTCCTGTCTCTCCTTGCACAGATATTTGGAGGGTCTGTTGCCTCACACTCATTTGGGCTGGTATTAAGATTTGGACTCCCCTCTCTTTGGCTGCCATCTACATGTAGTAGGAAGGTTAATGACAATGTCATTGCATTCTAGTCTTGTCTTGGGTCTGCCAGGGACTGCTATGCTTCTGTCATTGCAGAGGGGACACCTAGATCTTTCCAAGGAGCAGGTATCCAGCTCCTCTGGGAAACGCTGTGGAGTAGGGAGGTAACTGTTGGGATCAGCCTGGGGCCAGTGCTGGGGGTGTCTCCTCGGCAGACTGGGGGCTGAGCAGGAGAGGCGGGAGCTGCAGCCACGCGGCCAGCGCGTAACCAGTTCACAACTCCAGAGCGCCCTGCTCCTCAATACCTACAGCGAACGCCACCAGGAAAAGTGGGCACCTTGGCACAAGAGCTTTTTGCTCCTACACACTTGTCCTGCTAGCAGGCCTGGCAGACCCACACTCACTGCAAGTAGGACTTTGTTCAAACTGTCACCTCTCAGATTTCTATCATCAGCCCACTAAGAGGTGCTGTTGCAGAACATACAGCAACTGCGCTCAAGGAGGCATCTGCTTGGACTAGAGAACCCAGGTGCTCTGAGCTCATTCATTGCCTGCTCAAAACTTCTTTACACCCAGCAGAGCAAAATGACACATGTGGATTTGCAGATGATCCAGGCCACATAAAAGTGTCATGGGGGAAAAGTGTTTCATTTCTCATGGCATGCAGGGAGAAAGCTAGAAAGGAGGTCTGAGCTGCTCTGCGAGATCCATGAGACTTTGTTCATATTCTGCTATGCTCCCCTAAACCAGCTTCTCTGTGTATTGCCAAGACTTTCTTGTTCCATTTTAAGGTCCCTCTGCTATTCTTTTAAGCTACCTGAAAAGATAAAGAGATGGAACCCAAAACAAATCCTGCTGCAAGCACAGGACTCCTCTGAGAGGTGCCAATTTAGGCTCATTTCCAGGGCACTCCACTACCTTTTTGGGCAGCGCACTGTGCTTGGGGAAGAGTTCTTATTCTGAACTGCTCCAGGAGAAAGAGGCAAAGGCAGTTTCCCAAGTTTGTTAAGAAATGAAGCAAAGTTGTTTGGGCAGTTTCAAACAACGGTTACAGATACCACAGCTCTTGGCAGTATAGTTAACTAGGCAATGTTGGCAGTAAAACTGATTAACAAAGGAAATTACATATTCTGCACTAGCAGCTCAAGAGCTGGTAGGTCTGGTAGGTCTTGGAATAGCCTTCCAAAAGATTGGGAAGAAGCTGTGCTTCTTGAAACTAGCTGGTTTTTTAATCATAAATAATACACTAGAGGGCATGCCAGCCTCTGCTTGAGCAAGCCAGTATCTGTCTAATCACATGCAGCAACACCCTTATGCCTCAGGTGACTGAGATGAAGTAACTCTGCAAATAACATTGGCAGTTAGCATTTAAAGATCTAAGAATCAACCAGCTTGCTCTCCCACACTTCCTGCTGGGCACAGCAAGAAGATTAAGTCCAGAAGCAACTCCAGGCAGCCCCACACATTCAACTGCACTGTGGGATACACAGAAAAGAGGGTGTTCAGTGAAAATTTGTTTGGCATTAGCTATTTGTTCTTTTTTGAGGGGGGAGGAGGGATGTCTAATTTATACTGCCTACAATAAGAGCCCTCCATGTAGATGCTAGCCTTGGATACAAATCTACAGTTAAAATGAGGCTTGGCTGCTCATAAAGTACTCTGTGAGCACCAGGGAAAGAATCATGAACAGGAAATGCATTACAGACCCACAAAAATAGGAAGAATGATTTAGGGGAAAAAAAAAACAGTAAGGATCAAGAAAAGTGAGTGAATCATACGGAGTGGAGTATGAGCAAGAGAGGACAGAAACTGTAACAGGCACCATAGCCAAGCACATAAGTTGACTGGGCCAACTAAATGAGGATACATGTTTCCCACTGGATTACTGCACCACAGAAGCAAAGAAGTATTTGGCGCAGCGATCCAGCAGCTGAGTTACTCATGTTCTCGGCAGCACAATAAATTTGCCAGGATTTGGTGGTTCCAGGTTGCCAAGGAGCCAAAAACGGAAGCAATTCAAAATGGAGCAAGATAAAAGATAAGGTTGCAGAGCAGACTGGAAGTTCTGTACTCATGTTCACACAGCAAAGAAGTTCTGACTTTTTATCAGTTATTCAGCACTCATGTTCACACAGCAAAGTTCTGACTTTTTATCAGTTATTCAGTCAATTAAAGATTAATTAAGATGAGCAACAACCTGTGGGACTTGGAGAAACGGGGGCTAAAATCAGATAAACTGCTTTCAGTTCTAATAGCTTTTTTTAAAAAAAGACTGAAATCGGGACATGGAAAAATCACTGTTGCAGAAATCCTCCTTCGGAGGATCCATGGATCTTCCTGTGCCGGACTTTCTCCATCAGCGGAGATGCGACCTACGTGTCATGGGCCGAGGTTCCAGGACAAGCCTCATTTTCACGCACTTGACGGTAAACAATTCCCCCCCCCGATACAGGAGAATGAGATTATTACGTGTCAGTACTTGGCTACGTCTTATCAGCAGCCAGTAGTCACCACTGGTTTCCTGGCACAGGACCACCTGGGCCCAGTGCTCACATCACCTCACTGCTGTGTGCTAGCCAAGGGCTACTTTTTTCTGTGGGCAAATGCAAAGCTGGTTGCATCACTTCAGCCTATGGGATGTGGATTTTATACTTGGTAAAGAGAAGAGTTGTTTTTACAGAAAAACAAACAAACAAGACATTTTTTGTCAGGATCCTTAGCCAGGGGTAAATCAGCCACTCCGGAGGTCTGGACTGCAACTGAAAAACTGACAGTACTGCACAGACACAGGCTGCCAAGAGCAAACAGACACGGGACTGCAAGTGCCTCACACGTAGCTTGGGAAATCGGGATGATGGGAACGCTCCCTTCTGATAGGAGCCACTCTCTTATCATTGAATGGACTATAAACTGTAACATTACGCAAACATTAGGGTTCTGAACATAGAAGAACAAGAGGAGGCTGGAACAGTGGGAACAAGTACAGGAGGTGGCAGAAAGCCCAAGACTTTTGCCAGGAGACTGTTCTATAATCAAGTCTTGAAGTTTGCTTGCTTAGAACAGCATGGGTGGCTCAACGCCCTTTTTCAACAAGAAGCTCGATTTGACTAACAACCAGTTCTTAAAAGGATTCAAATGAAGCATCACTGCACATTTGAACTGACAGAGATCCATGCATTTGCCAGCAATACTGGAGGGGCTGAAGCAGTGGCAAGGGGCTGTTTGGGATATTAAAACACACTGCAAGAATTAAGTTACCCACTGAGATGGTCACATGCTCACTGGTTTCTCTGTAATGAATAATGGACTGCTAGATTTAATTCAGCATTAATGAAGAGGAGAGCAGCTGGTTCCTGGAGGCTAACACACCTGACAGTCCTGAGACATCTAAGAACCTACTTCCACATAAATGAACAGCCGTCCCCTCCCAGCCTGTGTTGCAAGCATTGATTTATAGAGCGGCAGAGGAAGGATGAATGCAGCATGGAGTAGGACGTAGGACCACAGGCACCCAACCTCCATCCTATTAAAGATATTTTTAGCTTCTAGTAGAAAATTGCTTTGGCAAAAGCTCTAAAATATCTATCGATCTAAGATATGGCCTTCCTATAATATTTTAATTGAAATCTAAGAGATCTCACAATTAATAAACACTGCTGTGCGTGGGCCAAGAGATTTTTCAATACATTGTCCTTTGATCCCTTTAAGTACTGCTAGCACTTCATGAGTATGCATGAAGCTTGGGCGTGTAGCTTGTTTTCTCAGCCCTGAAATGCACCCTTACCTTGCCCATCTTGGCATCTGCAGCTTAAGCCAGCAGCAGCAACAGAACAAGTAACTGGAAGCAAAACATCCTGCGAACAGGAAAGATGTTATGGATGTGAAACTGACCCCTTCCTACCTGCAAAGATCCTGGGATTGGTCACTTTTCTAAGATCTTCTGGCTTAAAAGTCCAAGCAGATGACTCTTTAGCAGACTACAGAAGATGGAATCAATTCCAAAAAAAAGAGAAGTCAATACCAAGGCTAGCAGGCCCAAGGCCCAGTGTTCCAATTTAAGGTTTCACTTCATCTTCAAGTTCATAAGCCACAGAGTAAACACAGTAAGACAGGCTGCCCCCTTAGCGTGTGCAGAGATCAAATCGGCCATGCAGCAAACTGGAAGTGTTCCACTTTTTAACAAATGAATTTAACCATATGCATCTCCCCAACTGAAGAACAAAAGTAAACTGGCCATTCTATATTTTAATGGAAAATATTGATGCTGTAACTACAAAACACATTACATTACATAAATAAGTTACTTAAAAATAACTCTTCCAAGGTTATACCCTCGGTCTTTCACAAGCATCACATCTACACTTAAACTCTGATTTTTTTCCCCTTTAAGAAGCTTCCTGTCCCTTGGCCTGCACAGTGATATTTCTTGCCTGATGGCTTTACTAAAATGGACCTTGCCAACTACTTTACCCTACAAGGGAGTCACAGACTGAATTAACTGCTTGGCATTATTGGTCCACTACATGTTGCTACACATCCCATTCCTTTTGTTGTTTTCTCCACCACCCAAAGATTACATGCTGGAAAAGTACTGCAATGCCTTAGTTATGACTGTTGTTATGATCTCCCTGCTATGTGGAAGCACTGTTTTCGTGCAATTGCTAATTCTTCTGATCATTTTAAGAGGAGGCTGTCCCCACACGCATGATCCTAAACAGCGTGTTAAAGTTGTTGCTTCTTATTGCATCCCGACAAGCAGTGATGATTTGTGTTTTAGGTTTGCCAACTGCAAAGAGAAAAAGAAAGAAAAGCACTTTAAGTTGCTGAATAAAAATCTGCTAAAATATTTATTAGATCCCATCTCTAAATTCAGGGTTTTCTTTCAAATATTTTTTTAAAAATGTGTTAAGTCCTACCTTGCCACTTGCTTACTAAATAACTAACCTTTTTATTTTTAAAGAAGAATTTTCTACAGCTGTTATTAGAAGAGAGCGTAAAGAACTTTTTAGAAGGGTAATGCTGTAAAGCCACAAGAGACACTTCCTTCCCCAAAGATCTTCAAAATGAAAAACAAGCGTAAAGAAAAACAGACAGGTGACAGGAAGTCAGCTAGTATTGCGCCAAAGAAGGCAACAAAACAACAACTGATTCTCTGTAAAGTTAATTATCTACAGGACTACTAATAAAATAAATGGCCTCACTTAAGTTGGTAGCATTTTCTTGAACTAAGTTCCATTAACCAAAGTATTACTTTAAAAGTGCTTTTAAAACTGTGCTCAAAGTGGGCAATTTTTATACCACCTGGAAAGGTGAAGACTGCTTCAAAGTGGTTTTTTCTACCATCATGATCCCAGATTGTATTGGACACTCAGAGCTCACTGTCACGGCCAATTGGCTATGACTGAAAAAGCAAAGATTACTTTGACCAGTTTAGCTCCAGGCCAAGACTCGGCTAAACTTGAAAGCGACCAGAATGTGGTCTTGGACTCCCACTTTTCCTGAACGCACCCACTTACCACGTAACCGCCCTGCTCTCTGGATGGCCTGATTCACAGCTTTCAGATTATTCAACAGCTCAGTGTGATTGTTGCAACGAATTTTGTACTGATTAATTAAGTCTCTATTAAGATCATACAGCTCGATGTATCGTTTCTTCATGTTCTTCCTAGGGAAACAATCACTCCAGTTATTTGAAATTCTTGAGACAAGGAACTAATTCCTGGCTTGTTAGATGTAACAATACAAGGTTGCAATGGCTACCATGACTGCCTACATGTTTGGGGTTAGGAGACAACAGACCTGTCTAGACATTTTGGTTACAGTCACTATTTGCTGAAATACAGTCTATTTTTGTAGTTACATTACCCAACAACTTAGAGGGATGTCACTTTCCATAGAAAAATTAACCTTCTTGCCTTCTCCATCCTGGTTTTCCGAAAGACAGGACAAGGCTCAACAGCTAAGAAACCATTTCCAAGCACAAAACATTTAGTTGTCACTAAGCATCACCCGCACTGAACGCCCCCCTTCACACAGATGGCTTTGTGCTTTTCCTGTGGCACAAAAAGCAAAGCCTGGCTGTCGCAGACCCAAGCACGCGAGAGGAGCAGCAGCCACTCACATGTCTCCCAGGAGGCGCGCGTCCTCAGCCTGGATCAGCACGCTGCGGATGAGGCCGGAGTGCTCGGCCATGTCGGCAGTGAGTCTCTGGTTCACTGCGTGCCGTTCATCCACCTGCACAAGGCAACTGCTCCTAAGAAATGGGCCCCCAGAGACCCTGGGGGAAGTACAGCAGCTGGCTAAGCTATTTCATAGAATCATAGAATCACAGGATGGTTAAGGTTGGAAGGGACCTCTGGAGATCATCTAGTCCAACCCCCTGCACACGCAGGGTCACCTAAAGCACATGGCACAGGACTGCATCCAAGCGGGTTTTGAAGATCTCCAGAGAAGGAGACTCTACAACCTCTCTGGGCAGCCTGTTCCAGTGCTCTGGCACCCTCACTGTTAAGAAAGTTTTCCTTAAGTTCCTGTGGAACTTTTGGTGTTTCAGTTTGTGGCCATTTCCTCTAGTTCTGTTGGTGGCCACCAGTGAAAAGAGGCCAGCACCATCCTCCTCACTGTCTCCCTTGAGGTACTTCTAGACACTGTTCAGGTCCCCTCTCAGCCTTCTCTTCTCCAGGCTGAACAGGCCCTGCTCCCTCAGCCTCTCCTCATAGGGCGGATGTTCCAGGCCCCTGATCAATCTTGTAGCCCTGCACTGGACTCTCTCCAGCAGCTCCACATCCCTCTTGTACTGTGGAGCCCAGAACTGGACACAGTTCTCCATATGTGGCCTCACCGGGGCCGAGCAGAGGGGCAGGATCCCCTCCCTCGACCTGCTGGAGATGCTCTTCTTAACGCACTCCAGGACTTCACCTGCCAGCACCCTTAAGACCATCCTCCTCGCCTTGCATCTATCTGTGTATGCAAATATCTCATCGTTTACATTATTCTAAACAATCAGCAACTGCTGGGGACCAAGACCCTTTTCAAGATTATGAAGAACAAACAAAAAGTTGCTGGTGCCCCTCTGTCTTTTACACAAAAGGCAAAGCAAGATGTGGCTTGTTGACTTATGTGAGAGAGCCCAAGCTCTCTGCAGTCTCTCTCGCACAGATGTTCCCAGTGAGTTTTTAAGCTGCCATTTTAAAACACCCTCACCTTAACCAACACTTTCCGCAGCTCTTCAAAGTATGCAGGGAAATCCGCTTCCACCTGCAAATCTTCAATTGCCAGAAAGGAGGCCATCGACTGGATAATGTCACCCGCTAGGTCAATATCATCCGTGCTGACAGAAACCTATCCGAAAGGAGAAGAAAGCCCTTCAGCCCTCCTCCACACCAAAACACCTCCCACATCTGCTCAGCAGCATTGCTTCTACAAGAAGCGTGTGCTCAAAGCAGCTCGTGCTGTCAAGGAGCAGGATTATTGCTGGGGAGCCTAATATACACCATGTGCAAGCTCTAGGGCTTAATAAGAGACCCTGTTCTCAAAGGGGCTTTTAGTCAGGCCAGAGAGAAAGTGGTATCAGCACAGACATGGCCAGCACGAGAGCTTTAAGCAGCCTCCATGCCTCGATTATGGCTCCCTGAAACCACTTTGTGAGGAGAAAAAAAATCCCTTCTGCAGACTCACAGGCTGGACCTGCCTGCCCCATGGATTAGGCCTGCAATTTTACCTATTAAGGCACACCCAAAAGTTGCAGAAAACACCCCTAAAACTTGAGTATTTCCTCCGCCTGTTTAGTCCACCTTCCTTCTTAGTGCCTCAGACTGGCAGCACCCTTAAGTTTCCCTGGTATTTAATTAAGCAAGCCTGCCCTTTGCCTATGAATGTACTCACCTCTCCGCCAGGCTTGATTTTGATGCAGAGCTGACCTGCATTACGAAGGGAAGTGAAGCAAACCTGAAAGGGAGCGCTCTGTAGCTCTGCGTCCTCTGGTAGCAGGAAGCTCTGATTCAGCCACATAACCATCTTGCAAAAAAATCAAATGAAAGACATCAGCCACCTCTTGTGCAGAAACCCTGCACAGCAACAGGAGAACCATGCAACATTCCCACATGTGCACGGGACCCCAGAGCACTGCTCAGGGTACCTTGGGAATTACTACCTATCCTCTAACCCATCTCATTAGCTTATCAGGAAGGGGGCGGTCAGCCCACTACTCCAAAACTGAATACTCATAAGAATATCAAATATGACAAAGAACATCCTGAAGTCAAAACATTGGCCCAGGCCTGGGGACTGGAGAAACCTGGGAATCAAGGTTCAGTTCTCCTCTAAGAATGCAAAGGAAATGTTTGTGATTCTTGTTTTTGGTTTTTTGTTTTGTTTTGCTTTGTTTTTGTCTTGGGCATTTAATGCAGTAAAATATGGCAAATATGGCAGAGACTTACAGATACAACCAGCTCTAATCACCCCCATTCTGTAATTCAAGCCTTTTAGAAACTAAAGCACAGTATCAACTGGAGCCATTAGCTGGGTCCTGGGTTGCCTTTTGCAATCCCTGTTGTCTCCTGGTTTCTATAATTCATCTCACTCTCGGGCTCCTGCTGTTGGCATCCTAACAAATGCCACAGAGCAAACAAGGTAATATTTAAATGCCCGATAATGTCTGGCCATTAGTTCCTGCAGTTGAAGGAATTTCTGAAACAGGCAAGGCCTCAATTCTGTTTACACCAGTTAAAGAAAATAAAAAGAGAGAGAGAGAGGTGTGGGGGAAACAGAGTCAAATTGTAATACACCGGGCCACCAATCTAGCTCACTGCATAGCTATTCTTCACTCATGGGATTCTCATGCTATCTACAAACCCCCCACGTGTTACAAAAAGCACTACCTATGCACAGGACCCAAAAATAAGAAACAGAGCAGGAACTCAAGCTCACCCTCTGAGCCCTCTCGTTCATTGTACAGTTAACGTAGCTCAGTGGCTCTGTGGCCGAGTCTGGGCTGCTCAGGGCGTACATTGAAAAGCGAGGGAGCTGCCTTGTCAGCTCAAACACATGGAACTGGGTGCTGAAATCCAAAGTAAAAATATAGTGTTACTAATATATCAGCAAGTCACCTGTCGCCATTTTTTCTAAGCTGGATCATGCCATCTCAGCTCCCAGCTGTGTGATCACCGCTTACACTACCCATTGGTGAACATGCACTTAGAAATCCCAGGTTCATTATATCTCTTCATGATGGCCGAATAATTCCTCTGTTGCTCATGTTTTCCACGCTCCTCCAATAAAATACACCTGCTAGGCAAACATATTCGAGATTTTGCTATGTGATCAGATATTTTAATGGCTCAAAATACACCTGCCTGTGCAGGGAAGGGACACTGCTTCCTGGGACATCACCAATCCTGGCAGATATAAGAAAGCAGTCATTTTCAAATATATATTAAGAGATATTCTATTCCTATGGAGAACTGGAAAAAATGCTGCCTTTAAGTCAGGGATATGTGACTTGCCCTGAAATCAAATGGGGTCACAGCTACTGAGCACTATCCAAGGAATATTATTGTGTTCTCCTGGAGCCCAGGCTTGTTCAAGTGTCACGTTCAAAGCAGCCACCATGCAGGTCCCTTGAGAGGTAGACATTTAGAACAGGCAGTCAGGATGCAGCCCTTGCCTCTCTCCACACACTCCAAAAATCCACGGGAAGGCAGCCCCAGAACAAAGGTACCAGTGACTTCACAGCATTCAGATTTTGTTCGGAAAAGAGATCAGCATCACAGGTACAGTAATGCTTTTTAATTTGGTATTTCAGGTCTCCTTGCAGTAATGCCCAGGGAACTAATGCCATCAGGGAACTAATGGGGCACTTCCCATGAGACAAGTAGGAAGCCACCTCATTGGCATTTCCTGTCACGCTGTGTTAACTCTGGGGACAGCAGAGTTCACAATACAAATCTCACCTGTTCCTGTAGCCCACAAAGGCTTTGATGTGCAAATCCACAGGGACATCTTTGGGTGGAGTGAGGGGAACACGAACACAGCTGGAGAGGTTCTGGAGACTGGGATGCACCACGTGGCTCTCTCCTTCAAATATGCCCTCAGCAAAGATCAGCACGGCACGGATGATTGTGTCTTAGCAACAGGAAGAAGCAGTGTTCCTTCATTAACAACAACTTTTCTATCAACAAACTACCATTTCTTTCAGAATTAAGCACAACCGATTCCTTTACACTCCTCTGAATTCCAGAAATATTCCAGATTACCAGCAATTCCACGGCTGGACCTCACTGCAGCACGTGAGCTTCAGGAGAATTTGCTAACTTGGGGTATTTCCAGTTTTGCATTTGGATTCAGCTGAGGTCCAGCTACACTCGGGCAACACTAAAAAGGCTGATCAGGGTTGCTGGACATGACCTGAGCTCTGTGTGAAGACACTGTGGCCACCTCTGCATTCCTTCCATGGTTCACTTACATACCAGGACATACTTCCACCCATGGAAAAACAAGGCTGAGTTTTTGGAAACAGTTGTTCTTACAAGAAAGCTGTTAAAGCAGTGACCCCCTCTGTATTGGTCTCCGTACTCAGTGACTGGGCACTTACTCCCTCACTGGAGACAACGCACTGCTCTTTGCTGATGTTCTGAGTCAACACAGGAGCACTGCAGCAATCACAAAGACTCACTGCAGCCTGAGTTAAGTGGTAAGTGCCTTGGTAAGTAAAACACAACAAGAAACAAATTCCATTGCACTCATCTCTCCTGAGATCCATAAAAAGAACACAGCTAGAGACGAAGCTCAGAGAAGGGCAGCCACACAGGGGAATTAGAAACACAGCAGAGGGGAAACAGGTGAATCATCAGCGCAGTACGTCTCGACGTTTACATGCAGTTACATGGAACAAACGTCAAGGTTTACAGGCCACCCACCACTCACCATTTGTTGTGGAAATGCACAACTCCACATGAGCAGACTGACTGTCAGAGCCCAGATTAACTGACAGGGCAGTCTGGAGTTGGGTGTTCGCTGGAATCACACCTCTCTGCCCATCAGCTTCCTTCAACTGAGTGTTCAGTTCAACCTGGCAAAAACACATACACTCTTCAGTATCAGAATTTCAAAATTTTCATTCAAGCAATCTAGGACACATGAATAAGTCAGTTCTCTCTTGGTTCAGGAGAAGGGTCTGTTTGAGTTGTTTCTTCACATGTTGAATATCAGTGAGGAGTGGTTTAATGCAGTCTGCAGCTGCAGACATCTGTGCTACAGTTTATTCCATGAAGCTCTTTTTACATAGGAGTTCAGCTTCCTACCCAAATCCTTATACAAATTCAAATGAGCAAGGAAAATGTTATTTATCTGAGTGAGAAAAGCAACTTGTGAACTTTCACAGGGAGCAAGCCAGATGCACAAGCATGCAACTCCAGTGCACGTTCCCACTGAATACCAATAGCCAACCCCAAGAGTTTACCACTCTGACTTGGCTGCACTGTGACCAGGTCACTATTGATTTATAGCAACAGGAAGCCACGTTCTGGCTCTATATATGGTTTAAATGGTACCTTTGCATTTTCCTCATAGTTTCGTAATTCCAGCAGCAGATTTTGTTTCTTTTGACTAAGTTCTCGGATCAGGTCTTGCTCAACACTTGAATCCATTAAATTTCCTTTCATTTCTTGGCCTCCCGGCAGATACCCCCGGACTGCAAAGAGAAAGTACAGCCAACTGCAGCAGGGTCTTTCACTGTCTACTCAAAATTTCTCCTCAAAAACTGATTCTGTGATGAGCTATACACTTTATTTTTATTAGAGTGAACCATTTGTTTTAGATAAGAGCAAGAAAAAAAAAAAGAAAAAAGAAACACACTGCAACACAGAACAATGCTCTCAGTCTACACGACAGACCAGGCATGGAAGCATCCTGATCTCAACACAGTGCCCATGACAAGGGCTGTGAGAACGCAGACGTTTGTCGGTGTGACAGGGTTAATGTTGCCTAGGAGTGTCTGAAAGCTCCAGACTAAGGGGATCCCCATTGTACCTAGCACATTGATCATCACACAGGAAGCAATATTCAAAATCAAGTTTGAAAAAAGCATAACTCAAAATTCCCTTACTTTGGCATTGGGCAAAGGCAATTTGGTATGCTAAAACACATGTGGAAACCAAACAACATTTAGTTAATCTGAAAGTAAGCAATGTATCTGGTAATATCTTGATCAGTGCTTTTACCTTCACCATCAACTGAACAACAAATTAACTGGGTGTTTCCATCCATTCTGTAATCCCCCTCCACCAGTCCTGCAATTGAGGAAGCAAAGTTGTCCTTAAAGATGACCTCCCCGGTTCGGTCGCTGCGTGCATCAACCTGAAACAGAAAGCCCAATGGGAACAGAAAAGTTAATTCCACAAATTTAACTTCTGCAGGACTCTGGGCTGTTAACTGAAAGCCTGCTTATGTCATGGCACTGCAGATAAACTTGCAACTTTGCAGATCACACAACAACAGGGGAAAAAATGTTATCTAAGAAATGAGATCTAGACAGACTAGAAGAAACTGCTCTTACGCTCACAAAGAAGTGCCAATGGCAGGACTAAACTAGACACACCTTGACACAATATTTGCAATCTCTTAGTTGCAGTATCTTAGTCTTGATGAAATGCATTATTTTTACATACAAATAAGATGAGCTTTTACTATATTTGACTGGATCGGAATGAAGATGGGAGCTGAGTTCTGCAGTGTCTCTTTCAGAGTACAGCGCCCAGCATTGCTCTTTCCAAGACCTAGGGAATGTTTCACATGAACGAGCAAGGTAGGGACTGCCCGTGTAAGAGAGCAGATGGGGGTAAGGCAAGGAGAGGTCCACCCCATAACATTACTGCAACCTGTGCTGGATTTGGGGGAGATTTGGCAGCTATTTCTGACAACAGGAATACAAAGTTAAAATCCTAGGACTGAGCTGCATAGAATGCTTTTACATGAAATCAGGCAACACATATAGCCTTATTCTAATCCTGGCATAGTTAAGAGTGATAAAGCTCTCATCTTAGGTTGTCTGCTCAATCTTAAACGATTTAGCAGCTTTGCTCAAGCACAGCTTCCAGACTTCCCCCCCTTTTTTTATCCCCTGTATAAACTCACCTTCCCATTGGACCAGCCAGTGATCAACTCGCATACTCCATCAGAGTTCAAGTCAAAAGCATATATGCTCATTGCATGGTTCTTAGACTAGGGACAGAAAGCAAAGAATAAACCAATTTTGTGAATGTTTTCTAAATTGTATCTGCTTGACGCACATAAGACACTTGAGTGGGAGCCTATAGAGATGAGAGAAAGGACAAGAAAAATGTCTCTGAACAGAAAGTTACAGCATCAGCATTTGTAAGGTAACAGTGAATTCAAGATATGCTTCTGTATCTCTGTTGCTTAAGCCATCCTCCAGCGTGTATGGCTGCAGCCACAGTTTTATGGCTGTATCAGTGTCATTTTAAGCCATCATCAACAGTTCCCTAAGTACTGATATGTTATTAGCATACCTTACAGGTATGACAAAATTACATTCAGTGCTACACTCAGCAGATTTTAAATTCACATAATGAGTTTGAATGTCATTTTAACATCCTGAGATAAGGCACCAAATCCCCTAGGACTCCTCAAAGTTTCAACTATGACATTTTAACACCAGACTAACCTTAATCCTCCAGTAGCGAGCTGTCTTGTCGTAAACTCCTACTGTCCCATTAGAAAGAGCGTAGCCAAATCGACTGCCATACATGGGGCTAAGCGCTGTGACAGTCTTAGGGGAGAGGATACAGGAGTGAGAACACATCAACTGCTGTAGCTTCGAGCAACAGAACAGACTACATGCAATTTCTCTATCGCATGAACTGTACACTACACCTAATTTAATGGCAAATAGGTCTGTTTTTAAAAATTAGTTGAAAAATCACCCAAGACCTGCAGGATTTCCTTGCACAAACTGGGTTGCCAGTGTTAAGGTATACTTCAGAAAAGAACTGCACTCAAACCGTGTTCTTTGACCGAAAATTTCCTACCCTCAGCAGCACAATTACTCATAGGATTCCTGCTATCATCAATGCTAATATACTTTAATTGAAAAACTACTACAAGCAGACAAAATTCTTGTAACACCTCAGGATGCACAAGAGCCTAACATTACTTGATCTGAGGAAGTCATTGTGATACTTTTGGTAGAAAAATCTTTGCCTGAGATTAGTGGGATTAAAAACTACCTGTTCCAAAAATTGGACGTTTTGCCAAACACCTGACAAGCTATTGCTGCAATAAGCAAAAGCTTCAGAAAAATATCTGAGCATCATAACTCAACCTGTTTCTCACTTTTTTAAGACTCTTGTAATTCTTCACTGATCACAGTATCTGAGTGTTTGGTAGCAGGGCCCTTTCCATGCACAAAGGTTAGATACTTCAGTGCCAGGAGGAAAAAATGCAATAATCTGTGTGGTCTTTTCTATGGCACTTCAGGAGATTCCCCTCAGTTAAATCCTTCACAAACTGAAACAACTCCTCTAGAAACCAGAACTCCTCCTTGTAAATATTCCCAGTGAAAGAGATCCACCATAACCTTTGCTGAAGTCACTGAGTGGATAACAATCACCCTCACCATTAAATGTGCAAACCTTAGGCCCTGAAAGTGTCTGCTTTCCATTCTTAGTGATTTCACTTTGTTGTACTTAGTCTCCTTAGTTAGAGTCCTTGCGTTTACCTTTCCGTCTTACAGGTAGATATCTGCAGACCAAAATAAAAGCACCTCATAAACCTCTACTATGCTCTGTCAATTGTGCTCCTTGTTTTTTCACTATAAATATGGTTTCCAAATCTGTTACCCTTCCCTTTCAAGGATCTTCTCTAAAACCTGTCCCAAGAAGCATCTTCCAAACTGTAAATACCCAGCGAGGACAGAAGATCATAACAACAGTCAAAAGGTCAGAGGTAACATACCCCTTTTACACCCGATTTTCCCTTTACACATTCAAGAACTGCATTAGCCTTTGTGGTCTCGCGTCAATCAAAATAAGCAATTAAAAATGCATGCTAGCCAAGTCTTAAAATGAGCACAGTTTATAAAGGCAATGTGCATTGAATTTACCTTCCTGAAAGGGGGTGTTTAAATGCAACTGTGTTCTTTTAAATTAGAACAAGACAACTGTAACAGAACTCTTAAGATTTTGCAAGCGTGAATTAAAAACAAAACAAACAAAATCCCCACACAACACAGTTCTACTGCAGGTCTGGAAATAAATCACATGAGATTGACGGACAATTAGTTTTTTACTGTCACAGATCATGCCATGACTATGACTCTAGACTGGTTCTTATACAGATGGCACTAGTTCTAATTCTAGCTATAGTAACAGCACCTTTTCCTAAAACACAGAGACCTATTAAAGATAAACCCAGGCAGCAAGTAGTTTAATAGCTAAGCCTTTTTAACCGAAGTTGGACAGCAAACTAACCTATTAGACTTCAAGGACAAAGTTCTCTAGCATCCTTACTCCATCCTTGGATCAGATGGGTCATGAGAGGGCTAAAAGTGCTCCTAAATACAACCATAACAGCAATTGCCTCCTGTAAGCAATTAAAATGTAATAGTGGGGATTCTCTCTCAACTTTAAAGCCAAAAGAAAAAAAACCACCTCTTTCACTTATTCCTCTGAAAACCCATCTGTTCCACACTTTTAAGCACTGCAAAGGTATAGCCTTGTTTATACAGCCAACGCACAACTCTCATTTCACCCAACTGTACTGTAAAACATTCACTTTTGCCTGGCTGACTCCCTTCTACTTCGCCATACGCTGTCTGGATACACTCAGAGACAAATTATTGCATCATGATTGTGTCAGTGCAGCTGAGAAACTGTAGCGGATGTTCTATTACTCAGAAATCAATGAGAGCTTAAATCACTGGGCTCCTTCTAGTAATTTTCACCACTTTCGGAAGGCCCTCGATTTTCAGTCAAACAGTAGTTATTTTTCTTAATCCGGTAAACTAGTTGTAGAACATGAACACCTATGCAAATATTATTGAAAGACCTTAAACTAACATTTGCAATTCTAGTAGAATAGATACTGGGACAAACAGTTAATATTTAATTACACAATGAATTTGAACGAGGGTAAACACAGCAGTCTTAGAATTTTCAACAGAAATTTTCAACAGAATTTTCAACTCCATCTTCAATTGCAACAAACACCATCTAGATGTAGTTTACCTCCGTTTCTGACATTTCTGCCACTATCTCATCTTCTTTAAACACGCGAATGTCAAAATCTTCAGAGCCAACAAGAAGCTAAGAAAAAATAAAATCTAGGGTTACTTAAGCTAAGCAAATAAAAAGTGCACACTCTAGGACCCAGAAGTAAACAGAAAGCAGACAAATATTCCAGGTCCAGCAGAAAGGAGCTTTTAATAAGCATGTGAAATGTTGCCAGTCAGACAAAAGGCACCCCTGCAAAGACAGGATTTCGGAAGGGTCTTGCTGGACAAATACTTGTTATACTTGTTTTGGCAAACTCGAGCCTAACAAAAGCAGAGTGAAGTAAATGGGGTAGGAATGAGGAAAGATACTCTGGAAAAAAATGTAGTTATACACAATAATATACAGTATTGCCCGTGTTGGGCCAGGAGACTTACTGCCCATTTCTTACATTACTACAGAGATGCAGAGAAAAGGTAATTTCTAATTACCAGCTTGTGAGCAAACAGCTGGAAAGCACTGCTTTATTCTGCACTGAATATCCCCACAGGCATTTCTCACAGCACGCTGATTCAGAACTAATAAATCCAAGTGTCCAAACCATCATTGCTTCTCCAGCCTGAAAGACAACTGCGACTACTGCAAATTGCCTTCTAATTTGATGTAGACAGTTGTGCAAATAGGACATTAGTACTGAATCAAGTTCTTGCCGTGCTGGTTTGTTATTTGTGATTTCTTAATTCTTTTCTTACTTCCTAATTGAGCAAATAGAAGATATTAACCAAAAGGAAGCCATGAGAGAAAAAAAAAAAAGTACTTTATAAAGATGTTAATAGGAGAGGCCTTCTATTTTACAAATTGAGAAACTGACGAAAAGAAATGCTTAACGCCTTCTCTAAAGTCATTCATCAAGTCAATGACAGAAGCAGAAATATGAAGTATCTGGTAGTGCCTTTCCCCACAGGAACCTGCGAGTCTGGCATCCCATGCATCTTTACTGGGCAGGATAAACAAATCTATACCTAAGTTGGATTTTGAAAAATAATGGCCTTTTTTTCCCCCTCCAAAGCAAATCTATTCTAATAGACTAAATTACACAAGCCTAAACTTACTGTAGGTATTAAAATAATTAAAAATTGAGAAAATACATAAAAGCAATACGGATTCTGTAACAAACCATTAGCTAGAAGTAAATAGCTAAAAGCATGAACTGTTAAAGCAAAGACTGGTAAAGCTATTGCTTTCTCGTTTTTTCCCTCCTACTTCACTGAACTTGTCCACCTCTGTGATTTTCATTCCACTGGACCAGAATGTGAAAAAAGGCAAGAACAAAAATTTCTCTGAAGTCTTTGGCAAGACAGAAGGAAGTAAACTATCATTCTAAAATCCTGAGGCACACAGTGACCAGGTTGGTTTTGTTAGCTACTAAGCAATAGAAGCATTATCCTCCAGTTAATCAGGCAGCTTTAAAGGCAAATGTGTTTTTACTGAGGGACAGAAGAGAAAAGAAGCTAGCACACCCACTTAATAGCAAGTCACAGGATAAAAACAACCTTTAAAAGACGGGTTTGAGTATTTTCTCAGAACTTCAGTTTACAGACCATGTATTTCCGCATAACTCGCAAGTAAGAAAATGAATCATCTAGGGAATTAAGAAGAGATTCTAAAACCTCAGCAAATACACACCGTGCTAACCAAAAAGTTAAGTCAATTGGACAATGCATCCAATCTTGCTTAGCTGAAACCAGTAACAAGTTGTACCAACTGCTGGGAACAAACCTTTCCCGGGGCAGCAGGTAGGGAGCTTAGAAGCACAAATGCAAAACAATTATATATTTAGCACCACAGATGAGTTTCCTGCTTTCTGATGGAAAGCAAAAATCTTTTTACATTGTCTCTACTTCACACAACCATCTCCCAGACCATATATAACACAGCAAAGGAGGAGTGTGTTGAAATCAGTTTGAAGACCTACAAAGAGATGTTTTTATTTCCTGAAGGCCTCATTCAAACAAAGGATCTGCATTGGTAAAATACATTTATAAGAAAAAACAAAGGTGTTGAGGCCATTTATATTAATATAAGCCTCATAATTCTGGTGATATTGTTACCTCCTCCGAAGAGAGATGGGCTGAGAAGTAGATAGAACAACTTAAGTAATAATGATTAGCACTGAAAGGCAGATGTCAGAAGGGAGTATTTTAGCTTGGTGACAACAATTTATTTACTTGTTTCTAAGTAACTAAGTAACCATTATTTTTCTCTCTATAATTCATATTCAAAGCCATGATCCTTCAAAACTATATGAAATCAAGAATACTTACAATGACAGAAAATGTCATACAAATTCAGGACTACAGCCATATATTTATCTGTTTATCTCATCTATTATCAGCAAGATGCTGAAAGGAAATTTCATTTCTGAGAAGAAGCTACTGAGAAGAAGTAGTGTGAGCAGAAATGAAAAAAAAGGTTTCTTGATTCTGTCAATCACAAGTGAAGCTCTTTGTGATGCTATAAAGACCCCTGAATACACCTAGATTACGTGCTGCAAGTGGTCTCAAAGAACACTGCTGCTACCAGCATCTGGATTAAACATCTGTGCACATCTTTTCAGGAGTGCAGCCTGAAAAGGGACAATTCCGGAGCTGAGATCTTTGTAGCTGGTAATATAAGGAAACTGTGTTTGATCATCTGTGTCCCTCTCCCCACCCCAATCCATATTTCACTGAAAGACGATGAAAACTGTTGGATTCACATATAAATAGTTACAAACCTCATTTTTTCCATCACCATCAAAGTCACACAGTGCTAATGAACGAACATTGTCTCCAGTAACCTAAAATGATAAACAGAGTCTTTGGTATCAATGGCAGCTGTCAGAGGCTAAACTATTTTTACATTTCAACTGCAACAGAACAGTCAACACTGGAGCAATATCTGAATACATGTTGACCAAAGATGTGATTTAAAGCTTATAATAAATTAAGAAAGATCTGAGCTATTCAATAACCAAATGACTGTATGATATAAAAACAAACAAAATAAACATACATTGAGGGGCGTGCACACTATCAAAAGATTTTTATAATAAGAGTGTTATGCATAGCCTTACTGTCCAAAAAAGATCATTTCCTTCATAATCAAAGCCCTGCAGGGCACAATTTCCACCAATAATAGCAAGTGGAGATGAAATATCTCCTAGTGTTCCAAGAACTATTGCATTGGCTCCATCCGAAACCTAAAAGGAAGTAAAAAGTAAAAATAATTAAAGCAAAGAATGAGACACCTAAGTGCACTGAGTTCACAAATCAGAAAGAGCTTCCAATATTTGTCCCCTTTCTATTGGGATCTTGCAATAAAATCTGTATGCAGAGATCCCCTCCTTCTTTGATCCAGTTAAAGGAGTTCAGTGGAATCACAAGGCAAGACAAAATTGGCAGTAACCATTTTTCAAAATGGTCAGTAGTAAGTGATAAATGAAGCTAGGCCAACAATCAGGCTGATTAGAGGGAAGGTTATAAAATCAGGAATTCAGCTGTTACAATTAATTATGCATATACATTGGTAGTTAACTTTTTTACTATGAACTTAAAAGTTGTATTGCTTAAAACTACATAAATCCAAGGCCTCTTCATGTTTTTTTTTCCACAGTAGTCTCTGATTCCATGACAAAATCCACAATTCCTACCCTCACTCACCAGCTCTAACTTGGATAAGTTAGGGTGAAAAAACCCTAGTGAAAATGAGTCCAGTTGAGCTCTGAATCTCTATTAACATTTTTAAAGTTTTTCTTGACAAGTGATGCAGAACACAGTATGAAAGCTTGCTCCCTCTCACACACATAGGCACACATCATATCAGTGTTTTGACTTTCTTTTTAAAACACTCCAAAAATCATAAAGGAGTAAAATGTAAAAACGTTTTGAGTGCATCAATATAACTAATGCAATGAACAGAAGCATACTGACAAAGTTATATAAAAACCTGTGATCTTTAGAACGCAAAGACAAAGAAAATAGTGAAGAGATGCTGAAAGAAGGAGAAAGTTAAATTTACTTACCTCTCTGTAAAACAAGTCTGAATTGTTATGCACATCGTAAGCCAACAAATTAGTCTGTGTTCCAACCAGAAGAGAATCATAACCAAGCTGAGGATTCAGCACTCCTGAAGTTAGGCAAGTGATCCCTTGATTAATGTTGAGAAGTGAAATGTCTGAATCCTGGGTACTTTGCACCATTCGTTTTGTGGCTGGTCTCTGGCCACGGGTATGAGGATTATGAATAAAAACCTATAGAAACAAATATTTTAAGTGTTTTAAACATCCCACCTAGTGACTTACCAAACAGAGTAGGAACTAGTAACTTTAATTTTTAGAGAAGATAGCTAATTAAAAATGGGTCTCTGCTAGTAAGCTTTTATTCTCACACTGACACCTATATTTAGCCACTGTAATTCTTTGGAACAAGCAATCATAGGATAAAGTAATCCTCTGCTTTGCACCTATTCAGTTTGCGTCTTTCACAACAGGATCTTTTCCAATGCTGTTCCTAGAGGCTCCTAAATTAATCATCATCCTGGGAAGCAACGCGATGAGCTATGTGCATATCTACAGCAAACTAAATGCAACAGATTTACGTCTACGTGGGTTTTTGTTTCCACCTATGCTTTGCTTAGTTTGGTTATGCTTAAACATATTTTGCTGGTTTGCTTGCTTGCTCTTTCCTGCTACTGCAAAGCTGGAATTTACCAGCATTTCCTTCATCACTTCATCCAGTAAAAGCACTAAGGCTCACTGCAGTAACCGAGAAAACACTACAAATAAATCTACTTGCCAGTTACCCAGAAAACAGCAACCCTTCTTTGGTGATGTGGAATATCAGCATTAATTTCTGCAAAGTTCCTGTTCTTTCACAGAATCACAGAATGGTTGAGGTTGGAAGGGACCTCTAGAGATCATCTGCACACGCAGGGCCACCTAGAGCATGTGACACAGGGCTGCGTCCCAGCAGGTTTGGAAGATCTCCAGAGAAGGAGACCCCACAACCTCTCTGGGCTCCAGTTCCAGGGCTCCGTCACCCTCACAGGAAAGTTGCTCTTCCTCATATGAAGATTAAACTTCCTATGTTTCAGTTTACACCGTTACCCCTTGTCCTGTCACTGCTCACCACTAGGAAGAGTTTAGCCCCATCCTCTTTACATTCTCCCCTCAGGTATTTGTACATGTTGACAAAATCCCCTCTCAAATTTCTCTTCCCTAAGTCAGAACTACCAGATGGCAAAAGAAAGCATCTGCAGATAAACTAACATACACAGAGGCTAACACTCAACATCACTCATTATTTTAATTGTTTTAGCATGCTGGAGAACAGTCTCTGGATTTACAGATCCTGTAGGTGAAAATACAGCTCTGTAACAACAGGAGCTTTTGCTAGGTTTAAAAGCAGAGCCTCGAGTGTCGCTCTCTGCCCCTGCAGGAAGCTTTGGCACCTCCAGCAGCTCATGCCTTATCCCAGATGCAAGCGTCAGGTCGAGGGATCAACACGCTGGGGAAAAACCGCCTCCATCTGCGAAGTTCTTGGTAGGTTCAGGGAGAAGACAAGTGGTTCCCCTCAAACAGGGATATCTTGTCTTCCTGAGCAAAGGCTAGTGAAGAAGCAGAGCCCAGGGACAAGCCCGAAACAGCTCCTCAAGCCCCAGGCAAGCACAAGGCTGAAGCCTGCAGTGTCTCCAGGCAGCCACTGCGGAAGGCGCTGCCAGAAGGCGCTTGGAGAGCTTGGAGCAACACAGTCCAGCCGAACACCAGAAACAGCCTTGCAGGGCCCTGCCCCCTCACACAGGGTTTCCCCATCATTTTGGTCTGAGTTTGCCCTTTTTTTCAGCCTGTTTCCCCTTGGTGGGGACCCCATGCAAAGCTTTGGCTTTGCACCAGGTGCCAGCCTGGGAACAACCTCCCGGCTGGACACGCACAGCCTCGGGACAGGCCGAGCAACAGATTAAGAGATTTAAAGGACAGATCTAGTGTCAAAACCCCGAAATAGCCCCGCGCACGAGGCCTTCTGGTCATAAAAAAAAAAAAAAAAAAAAAGTGTGTGTGGGGGGGGA